GGGGTTGGGGGTTTGGTGTCTGTTTTAACTGCTTCCACGTTACTCCTATTTTACCTGTCATCTTCCCCTTTCTTTTCTCTCCAACATAAACTGAAACTTAAATTAAAGCCAAAACTAACGAGAAATCTTCTTTTTGTTATACCGTTTTCAGATTTTGAGAAAAGGATAAAAACGTTTTTGTTTTTATTTTTTAAAAAATTTTACACCAAACGCGTTTTCAAATTGCGTTTTCATTTTTTAACCTTAAAAAACGTGAAAAATGAAAACGAAAATAGAAACAAACAGAACCAGTGTCTTGTTTACATTTTCCTATGTGCCCGTCGAGTCATTATGTAATTGCATGCACATCAAATTTAAGCCCACATGACCAATTTTGGAAATAATTTGAAGAAATGAGACAAATACTCCACATAATATATGAGTTTAAATTTTCACATTTTATTTTTGATTAATATTATTTTTAATTAAATAATTATATTAATCAAAAGAATCTTATTTAAGAGTAAAAAATAAAAATTTAAATCCATACATTCTAAAAATAATTTCATAAATTTTCTCCAAACAATTTAGTCACTACGCATGACAGCGAGAACAATGATGGGGTGTAATTAGAGCCTAGCCCACTACAGACATGACACCTATCGAGGCGGTGTAAATTAGGTTGTGTATCTATGTTGAAAAGGAAAATTGCTAAAATTAACCAAGTGCATGGTTGAATTTTTAACTCATATTTTTAATTAATATTATTTTGACTAATATAATTATTTCATTAAAAAGATATTAATTAAACATAAAGATAAGAATTCAAAATCATATGCTTAAGAGGTAATTCTCTCTTTTTATTCACTCTTATCATTTTATGTATAAGTTATACTTCAATTTTTCTATTAAAAAAAAAAAAGTTTGTTCGAATACCAATCTAGAAGTGGTACTCCTATAAGTCATCCTATTTGTTTCATCATCTATCATATGATTTTTCATTTTTTTTTAAATCTAGAGGAATGTCTACCGATTAAGAGAGCATAAAGATTTATGCCCCTTTTTGGTATATGAGTTTTGGTACGTGTGATGCATGTATTTAGTTATAATTAAAGTTTTTATAACGTAAAATATAAACAATAATAAGCTGGAAAAGAATAGATGAAAATATTGCTTAGAGTTTAAAAATGAGTATACATTAAGTGGTAGTATACCTGTCCCAACGAAAATTGCATATCTAACTCTACCACAAAATATAAAATTTAAATTCCCCACAAATTATTTTTTCTTTTTTAAAGAAGTATATGTTAATAGTAGTTAAGTGAAAAGGTTACGTTTAATTGTAGAAATACCTTAAATATTTTAAATTATAAGATAACGAAGTAAAAATAAATAAATAAAGGAGTCAAAACTTAAAAAATGAAAGAAAAAAAGTAAAACACCTAAAAACGGGCCCGTTCGGTTCGCTAATTCAAATTTTTAATTCGAGTTGAGATGTGATGTTGTATGAGAGCTTTTTACTGTAGTAAAAAAGTTAGATGTGACTGTTTCTGAGAGCTTTTTACTGCAGTAAAACTCGAATCAGCAATATGAATGGTGAATTACTATAGTATGAACATAAATTATTAAATGAAAAAAACAAAAAACTTCGAACTTAAAACTTAAAAATGAAAGAAAAAAATAACTCACTGTTTAAAACTACCCTATGATGAACAACAACTAAATATCTAGTCTTTCATATACTTACGATTAGGATTAGGATTTATGATTTAACACGTACAGAAAACCAAAGAAAGAAATAAAAGAGTTAAAAAAATAAAGCACCAAAAAGGTTATGGAAAACAAACGAAAAAAAAAATTCTAAAAGAAAAGATAAAAGAAGCAAAGAAACGAGAGAGAGGAGAAAAGAAAAAAGAAGCATTAAAATGGTGTGTAAATAAGTACAAAAAAAAAATGAACGGTATAGTTTTCACCAATTCCATTATATATTTAGCATTTATTACTTGGATAAGATAAGATTTAGCATTATGATAAAACGGTAAAAAAAGTAACATATGACGGTCCATAATCTACGTTATTCACGATCACTTATCTTTTTTTATTTCAAGTGTTTCAAAAGGGGAAAAAAGGCGGATCAAAAAAGCAAAAAAAAAAAAAAAAAGTTGAAAGAAACAAATAATCAAAACCATTTCTTAACAAAAAGAAAGAAAAAAAGCTAAAATGACCCGTTTTAGATGACTAAAAAAAGAATAGTAGAGTTAT